TCTGGTGCATTATAAAACCCTAAAACACAGGACTTTTATTATCCCAAATTTCACACACCCACCACTTCCCACGTCATTCTCATTCCGATTTAAAATCAAAACATTCAAGGTGTCAGAAATACCGGGTTGCCGGGATGGGTATTTTACAAACAATCGCAGCTTGGTCTATGACCGACACAATCGGCACACTGACAAAAAAGATGACCCAAGATTGGTGTGCGGAATGAACTACCCCTCGGGTTTTAGAGAAAAGTAAGCTATATTTTTACAATGTATTTGTTTTCAGTGCAGGCCTGAAATTTATCCAGCTTTCCATGCTCGGTAATGGCGGCCTGTTTGTATGAATAAATGTATCCTTCACTGTGCTTTTTGACACTATCTGGATGTTCGAATTTCAACCCCTTCCCTTTCCCTCTCCCAGGAACAGAAGAAAATGGAACAACATACGCCCTCCAGTTAGTGTCAAAAAGCACAGTGAAGGATACATTTATTCATACAAACAGGCCGCCATTACCGAGCATGGAAAGCTGGATAGACTTTTTTAAATAGAAGTTTCGGAAATTTTCTACAATTCAATGTTCGACCGAATTTGACGCCAAACAGCCAACCGGTTGGACATGATTGTTCCCAATTTGAGTGAAACTTTGCTCATATGTTGTTTACTACACACTTAGAAAAAATCATATAAATTTATATGCTCTGAATTTTGACATAAAATTGAGTCATAATAGACGCGAAATTTAGCTCAATCAAACGTACTTTTCGTCGAGTACCGAACTTTTCAGTCTCGGAATACTTAATTTTACATCACATGTTTGTTTACGTCTCACCCTTTATGTCAAAGATGGATTCCGTCACGTGTAAAATTAAGTATTTCTAAGTGTGTACTTCTAGTGTTGAATTTTTCATTTGAATATGATTGTTTTTCCCAAGAGTATTTTGTTTGAGATTGTACTCGAAAAAAATGCAACTTTCTTTTGTGTAAAACTTGTATGGGTAAAAATTGATGAAATTTTGAGTAAAACTAGATTAGAGTGTAATGTTTACATGTGCAAAATCTCGTCACAATATGTCAAGTGGTTATTGAGATGGCTTCCAAGCGAGAAGTGCTTCGACAACAAATTTTGTGAACAGTCGTGGAAAATCCAGGTCAGTCCCACAGGTGGCTTGCGAAACAGTTTGGAATCGACAATTCAACCGTGTCCCGTGTGGTAAAATCGTCCAAGGAAACCCAGACGACCCAGCGGTGAGCTGGCAGCGGAAGAAAAGCGAAGACGACCGACCCCGTGAACGCAAGGAAGGTGAGGGATTACTTCAACCGCAATCCGAACCTTTCCATTCGGGACGTAGCCAAGAAGGTCAATTCTCCCGCCTGGCTCGTCCAGCAGACAATGAAGCGGTCCGGACTTCATGTCTTCAAGGTAAGGAAGGTGCCTAACCGAACCGACAAACATAATACGGTGGCCAAATCCCGCGCCAGGAAGCTGTACCGCGAGTGGTTGGTGCAGCCGAAATGCATCGTAATGAACGACGAGACGTACATTAAAGCGGACGCCAAGCAGATCCCCGGCCTGGAGTTTTACGTCGGCAAGTTCCGCCTGGATGTTCTGGAGAAGTTCCGGAAGAAGTAGGTCGACAAATTTGCCAAGAAGTACTTAGTATGGCAGAATCCAGAAGCATATGCTGTCCTTCCTCTGGTTCCACGAAGGTGACACTCTGTTTTGGCCGGATCTGGCATCGTGCCAAACTCGCCAGAACTTCGCCCAATAGAATTTTCTGGGCGATTATGAATGGCAAGCTCCGGAAAACAGTGAAGGTCTTCAAAAACGACATGGATTTGAAGAAAGAGTGGATGAAACAGGGGGAACGATACTCATTTGAATGTATTTTTTCAGTCTAGAAATTAGTTGGGATTTCCGGGGAAAAACATAATTGATGGGATTTTTTTGAGTGTGTCATGTTGACGAAAATAGAGCAGGGATAGAAAAAGTCGATGGGAATAGATCTGGGAATGAATGTGATGTGAGGTAAAGAGCCTGAATTTATAAAGAGACGACATCTTATCCATTTGACAGGTCTTCTGCTCGATTGAAATGACTTTTCCTATGACTTTGACAGACAATCGATTGTTCCAATTTTGACATGTCGCCTCTTTATAAATGTAGGCTCTTTAATGTGAGGGGTGGTAAAAAGTTTCAGAGGGATACGAGTCTGAATGCGAAGAAGATAGGTGTAAAACCTGGGATGAAAGTGTGTAAGAAAGATGGCGCTTGTGTTGCACAGAATTTGATGGGTAGTGTTAAGTCCAAGGTGCGGGAATTCAGCCTAGGAGAGGAGGTTGAATAAACCAAGTTTGCAAAAACGTAGCTGCTATGTGTTTATTTATTCCCTGAGAGTTTCAAAAATATCCGAATCAAAATCAATTTTCATTCAGTAAATTTATGTCAAAAAAAAATATGAAATCAGTGCCAACATTTCAAAGGGGCTTGTATTTGTAAACAATGGCTTTAGCCATCGATTTCTCGCGAATACAAGCTCACTCATGAAAATTAATGACACCAACAGATAGAGGAATGTTTCCTCTACCAGCCAGCATTGTTAGTTTAGAGGGATGAGCTTTAATTTGCGAGAGATCGACGGCTAAAGTAATTGTTTTCAAAGGAAATTACGCCCCTTTGTAATGTTGGTACTGAAATGTTGATTTTATATTTTGGTTTCATCCCAAGGCTATTTTTTTTTATTTAAATATGACTATTTTTCTCAGGAGTAACTTTTTAAAACGGCGTATTTTTTTTTTTCAAAAAATCATAACAAGAAAATGACTTATCTAATCAATGTGACATTTTGGGAAGAATTTATAGGTCATTAAAAGTTCTAAGAAAAAAAATACACTGCAGAAAAAAAAATCAGTAAATTCATGTAAAAATAATAAAACGTTGATTCTCTCGAAGCCCACCCATAAACTCAGCAACACAAAGGCTTTCGGGGAAATGGCGTTCGGTGAAATGGCATTCAGCCAAATTTTCGCCCCTCCCTAGCTCGAAACCTAGCTACGTCTTTGATGCCCATCCCTTCGATTTTCGTAATATTTTTTTGGGAAGAATTAATTAATTTAGCTTTATTTAGGAGGCTTTCAGCCTTAGGCTGGTTCGCCTCCGAAGCTTTTTGGGAAGAATGTTTTTTTTTTTTTTTTTTTTTTTTTTTTTTTTTTTTTTTTTTTTTTTTAACTAGTTCGTTTATTTGGAAGGCTCAATCGCGTTAGCTTTACGGAGCCGGTAGTTCGTTGTGGGACGAAAGTTGAAATGTTTTCCTTAAAGTTGATGAAAAGTGTTAGCCCGGTAATTTGTTTAAACACTATTTTTTGTTTAAATTTAATTTTAGAACAGAAATAAATTAAACACTTTTTAGTAAAATAATACCAAAAATTGATTCTACGCTTCATTTTTAACAAATTGGCATATATTTTTCTCTTAGTCTACCATGAAATTTTTTAAGATTTCAACATTCTGAGCATTGGCATTTTTCCAAGAGTCTTACAGCTTAAAACTAACTTAGAGATCTTGAACTTGTTTTGTTTTATAAATCCTGAAAAGTTGTCCATACTCCGGAATGGTTGAACAATTCTAACGATTCATACAATTTTGACCATCCGTACTCTTCGCGGCATCCACTATCCCGAAGAGATTTGCCATCACCAACCGCAAACAATGGCCTTCAAAACGCCAAAAGCCAACTAGATCGCGGTCGTGCAACTGCCTTCCGGTTAGCCGTACGTCCAAACAATCAAACCCCTTTCTGGATGTTGCTGTCCAAATCGGTGTCCAACCAGCAACCACATTTCTTCGGGCATCACTTTTCTCCATTTTCGGATTAACTTCCAAAACCACCTATGCTGTTGTTGATGATGGATGACGCACTTGGACGTAATTTGGAAAACAAACCAGCAGATGGAGTTGGCTGTTCCGCGTTGATTTCTTTTATAGATAATTAGCGACTCGAAATTGTTCCGATTTTTGTTTTTACCATTCAAGGCCCATTCAAACGAGGCTTGCAATTTCTATTTCGTGTGGATTTTCCTTGTCGTCATGGCGGCGCTAAACCGCTTTTAAGGAGAGTATGAGGCAATGGCAGCAGTAGGCCAGAAAAGCGCTCCATTAGTAACGAGGGGCGACCGAGTGAGAGCCACTGACAGCTCCAAGGTACGAAATGCGGCATCTCCTCCTCATCCGAGCGATTGATCCCAATTAAAATTCCGCCATTAGGTTTACATACGGTTTGCAAGTGTTGCGCTGTGTGCCATCATTAATCATCATTATGGAGGTTTTGCTAGGCATTGGCATTCGAGATGAGGTCACCGGCAAAAGTGCATAATTGACTGTATGGATGGGATCGATTGCTGCGACTGACACAGTGCACAGGGGGACAGCTCATTAGCAGATTCCTCGCGTGATACTTTAGGACCTTATTTGTTTGTCGCACCCGAGCCTGAAATGTGGTGCAACTCTCGATGCTGTTGGCAACTTTGAAATACTCTCTGTTGGTTTAGTAATCGATGGAAGTGACTCGTGGGTTAAGACTCCCTCCATCAGCTGTCACTAGTGACCTGAGCGAGCGCCGGAGAGTGCGATGTCATTTTCGTTTACATTTGTCGCGTGACAATGATGCTACATGGTGGTCACGGTCGCCATCGAGCAGGAAAGAAGCTTCACAAAGTCACCGCGAGCTGCTGAAGAGCTGGCTCTACTGTCACCCATCGCATCGAAGTAGCCCGGTTACCTACTTTCCATAGGTCGTGTTGACATATGAGGGATAAGTAAGGGGTTTTCCGTTGTCGTGGCTTTTCGGTTAATAGATTATCAGCTTTGTGGCTGTCAGTTACGTCGAATTATTTTCCCTCAAACGGCAATATCATTGTTTTCATTGGCAGTGCTGCTCTACTCTGATCCTAGTAGGTCCCAACTGTCACACAGTCAATGCGAAGTTTCCCAAAAAACCGTTATCAGCAGCATCATGGCGATCACCTGTGGCATTCCGGCGGTGAGATTCACTCTGATCGTGCTTAATCTGTTCTGCTTCCTGTGCGGTCTTTCGTTGGCCATCGTGGGCATCGTGATGCATCACCGGTTGGCGTCGGTCAACAGTCTTACCGAAAAGGACAATCTGCTCACCAGCGAATCCCTGCTGGCAATGAGTCTCGGCTGGTTCATCTTCGTGGTGGCCTTCTTCGGGTTCTGCGGAGCGGCCAAGCACTCGTACTGCATGACAATGGCCTATGCGCTGATGTTGATGGCCCTGATCGTGATCCAGATTGTGGTGGCCGTGCTGCTGTTTGCGAGCGTCGAGACCGGTCGGCATCAATATCTGGAGTGGTTCGATGAGTACTTCGATCGGAGCTTGCAGATGACGAAGGCTTCCAGTGTGGTTGATCCCAGGATCGATCGACTGCAGAGTACGTACGGATGCTGCGGGATGCACTCCTTTCGCGATTGGGGAACCAACGTACCGGATTCGTGCTGTTCGGAAGGGAAGGGACCGACCTGTGTCCCGTACGAGCAAGGATGCGAACAGATGCTGGAAGGCTACATCAGGCAGGTGGCGAAAATCATCGGATGGATCCTGATAAGCTTGACGGTGTTTGAATTTGTTGCTCTGATGATGGCATGCTGTTTGGCCAGTGACATCAAGAATCAGTTGAATGCTTTCTATATTCCCTGATGGGACAATACAAATTATTAAAGTAGAAACCTACGGTAGTCCACTTTCCTTCAACTGGCCCCAGGGGGAAAGTGACAACTCTGTTAACTAAACATGACCTAAGGGTCGTACTTTACTGGGTGACTTGTGGGCGCTTGTTTGTCGGTGCACGTCAAGCTTTGCATATCAAAGCGTGGAAAGTTAAATAAAGAGCGCTGCAACCAGGGAGAAACCACTTGTTGAGTGCGGTGGTGATGCATCTTTGTTTGCAAGGTTCCCTCCGACCGATGCACCCAGCCAGTTGGTCGGTGGACGATCGGTCAGCCAGTCGGTAAATAGTGCTTATTATGGAGACCACGAGTTTCTATGTCATTATCATTTTTACTATCGTTTGCCGAGCTGCATGCAAGTGCTACCGCATTTAATGGATGGTGGTGGCGACGTGGTTTTGGCGTGCCGTGGCGTGTGGTGTTTGCCCTTCCGTTGCATCGTCGTTCATGGTCAACAGGGAAAAAGTTTACCCAGACTGATTGTCGTCGATGCGATTGATGGGGAAGAGAAAAAAAAAGCGACGGTTTTCCTTTATCTGGGTCACTTTTACTCGGGAGGCTCAATACCGCGATTCGAATGATATTTATCATTAGACTTAAATACTTATGTACATAGTATCCTTTTTGACCAAATTAGAAGCAATTATTGGTTCATTGCTCTTTCACAAATTGACAGAACAACATAACAAACTTATAAGGAAGAGCTTCAAAGAGTTTTGACGTAGGACTACGTCTGTGATTTCTATATGGGGGTACACTTTGTGAAAACCGAAAATGGAACATGCAACAAAATTATGAAAGATTTTGAACGATAATAACTCAGCTGCCCCTGGACCAATTTCAATAATTTTACCACCAATCGGTCAGATATATTTCTACGCATCTGTTAAATTTAAGATTTTGTCATTTTTCAAAATGTAACTATTGAAAATTGCACGAATTGTGTTCATTCCACGTGGTGAGTGGTGGTGTTGTTCAGTACACAACGAAAGGCTGCCTGCAAGCAGCGAGCTGCAGTCCACATGAGCATCCACAACTTTTCATTAAAATCCAAGGCTTTAAAACAAGATTCTGTGCCATGAATTCTGGACTTATAAATATTTGTATTACATATTTTAAACTAGAAAGATTGGAAAGGTTTTGTACCTAAGATTTTTTCAATTTGAAATTTAGTTTTGTTTAAAATCTCAGTCTTAAAACAAAAGTCAATGTTTTTTTGGTGGGAAATTTTAAATCTATCGTATCTCGGGCTTAATTAATATCTTGGAATATGAAAAAAAAAACAATTCAAGGTCCAGGGTAAATGCAACGTTCAAATAAATATCCTGGATTAAAAACAATAACATTATGGGCTTTGTAATATTAAAAAGATTCCAGGCATTCTAACATCTCGAGCATGGAGTAGTTAAAAAAACGGAATTGTAAAAGATTTCAATATCCCAAATTAAAACAGAAGGTTCAATATCCTAAATTTTCATTTTTTTCTGATCCTTCGAAAAAATATCATGATCCCATAGGTTCTATACTAAGAAAGATTTCCAAGATTTATTTAGACATTTATTATGTGACTTTTGATATCGTGGGGTTTTTAAAAATTACTTTAAAAATATAATAAATCGAGATTTGAAAAAAAAAACAGGCATAGAAAAATTAAAAATGATAAGCTTCCAAACCGCAAAAAAAAATTTGAGTTGTAGAACTTGAGAAAATGGATCCCGGAGTTGTACAATATTCGTAAGTATTAAAATTTAAAAAAAATGTGTCCCATCAAGATCCTGAGCTTGATAAAAATAAAATTTATATCTAGAAGTTGAATTCTCAAATCACTTAAAAAAATAATTTTAAAATTTAAACTGGATTGTAGATTTTAAATACAGTACTTTTCCCGATTTTGTCAGTCCCATCTGAAATTTTAGGCTGACAAAATCGGGATTTTTTTTTTCTTCAATATTTTAGCCTTCAAAATGATTTCAAAAACAAGACTAACCATTATTTATCCATTGTTAAAGGATTTACTGATATTTTTTACTATTCGTACATTATAGGGTACACCAAACGTCTCGAAAAGGCAAATCTGTTTGCGTACGGTTTGTTGAGCCGGTACGTACTGTTCAGCTTCTGCTACTGCTTGGTTTCCAGCGGTGCAACCCAGCCAGGACCTCCATATCTCAGAATCAACGTAGATACAGTAGTACGGAGCCGTCTCTTAATACTGCTTGGTCCCGAGAAGTTCAGCATTGTGAATTTCCATCTGGTTCAAAGGGGAATCCCACAACGCTGTAGCTTGCAGCTAAATTATTACTTGCCTCTTGGAGCTCCTGGGAATGAAAAGCCACGAGTTCTGGGTTTTCCAATATACGAACCATAGCCTACTTTGATCAAATCGACATAGCGTGTACGTTGACTTTAGTTCCGTTTACATTTCTACCAAATCATTAATACAGCTCATTTCACACTTTCTTAAGCTCATGACTGTATACCACACAGGCATCATTCTGGTTACCGCGTTGATGGCTTTTGGCGTATTCGACGGGGCTATTGAAGTCAGGCGGTCGCATGTATTTCAACACGCGTTTTAAAACTATGTTACCGTAAGGCGACGTCGTCCACAAAGCCAACGATCTCAACTCGATTGGGCAGGTTCAGCGTTAGCACACGCCGTCTTACACCTCGTTCCAGAGCGTTGGACCAAGAATGGAGCCTTGTGAAATTCCCACCGTAATCCTAATCGATCTCTGTCCCATGGCTGTCTCGTAGATCAGAACCCGGTTCTGGAAGTAACTCCTTAGAATCCTGTACAGGTAGTCCTCATTATATGTAGCGCTTCAGCGATGGCCTTCTCCGACAATTCGTGCTCAGTCTCCGTGCATTTGGTCACCCCAGAGTTTTCCGAGTGTATCCAGCAGGCACTGCTACGAGCTCCTCGTTGGTGACTTCGTCGTTATCTCCCTCTCCGTCTCCGTAAACATTCGTGAAAATATCTGCCAATTGTTCGTCTGTCCAAACAGGTTCCATCCGTACACGTCCGGCTGCGATGAGGTCACGAATAATTTGATGCTTGAAGTCGATGTGTTTTGCTCGTTTGCACTCCAGGTTTTGGGTCATCCCTATACAGCCACGGTTGTCGTCATAGATGGTCACAGGTTTTGATATCTTCACACCCAGGTCGCACAAGAGTCCAGATAGCCAAATTGATTCTGCCACACCAGCGCTCAATGCTTCGTATTCAGCTTCCCTCGAGGAGGTGGCCATCTTTCATGTACCTCACCACTCGTTTCAAAGCAGTCCAATGTGGTTGTTCTGGTTGCTGCTGAAATCGTCTGAGGAAACAAAGGTCCGGTCATCATAATATACACTAGGCTGCCAAGAACATCACGGTATGGTTCATCAACGATTCCTGCCTCACTGTAACTACGGATCAGGCATTTTTGTTGGGTTGCAAAAACTCATATTGAATTTCTTCAAGACCTTCCCAATGCTTGCTTCTTGCAATAAGTTTTCCTGATGTCCTCTCGTACACGATTTTCATTCCGAGAAAATGTTGTAATTCGCCACAATCCGTCATCTTGAAGAACTGCGATAATTGCCTCTTCACTTCTTCCACCGTCTTGATTTGCTCTCCCATGATGAGCAGGTAATCGACGTATATGACAAGGTTGACACAGTAGACATCATCGTTCCCCCTCTCGTCGATCCGGGTATACAAGCAATAGTATGCTGCGATCTCTTGAATCCAAGCGTCAACAATATCTGATTCAACTTCTCGTTCCAGCACTTGGGGGCCTGCTTGAGACCATATAACGACTTTTTGGTTCCTGGATCCGGTTTGACACCATTAGGTATGGCCATGTAGATTCTTTCTTGTAGCTCGCCATGTAGGAACGCCGTCTTTATGTCCATTCGGTGGATGACTAGTCCTCTTTGTAGCGCGACAGCTAAAGCCACCCTAGTTGTTGACAGCTTGGCCACTGGTGCATAGGTTTCGTGATAATCCATCTGGAGAAACCCTTTCACGACCAACCTAGCCTTGTGTCTTACAATATTTCCATTATCATTTTTCTTAACGTAGAATATCAACTTTCGATGCAAAGGTTTCACTCCTGTCGGACGCTTCACACCTGGTTACTTATCATCATCCAGCTCATCAGTCAGTGGTTCCGATCGTCACGCGGTGGATCTGGAGAATAAGAAATTCCAACAGCAGAGGTTGCTCTAAATCCGGATAGAAAATCTAGCAACTTACCTGGGAGCCTGCGCTTCCGTTCGCTGCGCCTAGTGGTTGACCCCTTCAACGCGTGGCAGATATTCAACAGGGTTGTTTGATGCCTCCCCCTCTGGCTCGTGCAGTGTGGAGATTGAACTTCACATCTCTTACGATCACTATTTTTCTTGCTTCTCTGTCCCAGAGCCGGTATCCATGCAGAGCGTATCCAATCATTACCGTCTTGCGACTCTTGGGATTTTTCCTCTGCTGGCAGGGGTTCCATGCCACACCCAAAAATCCTTATCTTGTTAAGGACTGGCTTTAAGTTCATCCATTTCTCGGCCAGGTTTAGATATCCAGCCAATGCCACCGTAGAACAACGATTCAAGAGGTACGTTGCAGTTAGAGCCACCTCTGACCATATGGGCTTCAGAACCTGCGAGTCACTCAATATTGATCTTACCTTTTCAACCGGCTGAAACGTTCAGCTGAGGGGAATAAGCTACCGTTGGTAGAACTTGAAGGCCTCGCTTCTTGTAATTATTGCATTGTTAATTAATCCACGGTGAGCTTACAGATTTTTGTCTGCCATTGAGTTGTAGCGATAGCTTCATACTATCTGAAGCACCTCGGATTTTTCCTTGATTGGGTAGATTACGGCAAAATGCAACCAGTCGTCAATGAACGACACGAGGTAACGCTATCCATCCGATCAATGGGGCCACACACATCCGAATCAACTCGCTCCAACGGATGTGTGGCACGTTCTCTGACACCGTCAAATGGTTCCCGACACTGCTTGGCCGTATCGCAAAAGCCAATTGAATTGAGCTTCTCCACAAAACCTGTAACCATTTGGTGCTTCACAAGATCGTTCAAAGCTTGTTGACTTGCATGGCCCAAGCGACGATGCCACAGTTTGCTCGTCTCGATCACGTTTTAGTACCGACATCAAATTTTAGGTGATTTTAGAACAGTTCTCCATCGTTCTGGGATTCCGCACGATCTTGACTTGTGAATAATACGTTGATTTCAGTCTGCGAGAGCGGGTTTTCTCGTAGATCCGGCAATAGCACTACGTTCTGTATGTGAAATTCAATTCCTTTGTTAGACATACCTTCACAACTAGGAGCAAGTCATTCTTGGCCACATCAATAATAAACAGATCGTTCAGTTTCCGTATGGACCGTAGATGGCTTGCATCATTTACCGAGTCTATGCATAAGTGGATCTTCTCAGTTTCAAGCTTCCTCTGGTCACCGCTTGCCATGAACGCGACTGCCTTGCTGCTCCATCAGGGACAGAGCGGATATGCTCCCATCATTTTGTTGAAGCAGACTTTGTTGAATATAAATCCCAAAGTTTGTTGTCGTGGAGTAATTTGAAATTAATTTCATGTGGCCGCTCCCCGGGCCGGAATGGAAACTTTGCAGCACAAACCCATTCCCATTAATTCTTGCTTTGCTGCTGATGTAGCCCAGGCACACAATATGCTAGGTCTCTAAATCCGCTAGCACGGAGTCCCCGACATAATCCAGTATATCCAGCAGACTGACTTGGACGTCGATTTCGGGATGGGAATCTGCAATCATACAAAAAATAACCTAAATAATATCGGTGCATCAAAAAACGCATTTTCATTTTCGTTCAATGACATTGCTATGAAAATTGACGTAACATTACATTATTCAACAAATCTCCTATATGTATCATCCATAATAATCATCACTAAAGATCACTATTTTGATCTTTTTTTTTCAATAATTTAGCATTTAAACTCTGGAATTCGAACTGGCTGTCATAAATTTATAACCATCGACTATTTCCCGCCACTAGTGACGCATAAATTTCACTTTGATTCTACTTTAAACTATCATACTGCATTTCTAAACATATAACCTAACTTCTAATGGATCCTTTCTTTTCCTTCTCCTCCACAGGGTATTCCAACCTGCCCGATTAATTTGACCACGCTCCGCACCCGGTTGCCGGACATTGGCAACTGGAACCTACCGCACATATGTAAGGAAGCCGTAACCAACAACAACAACAGCAGCAGCAACAACAATAACAACAACTGTTCGGCCAACATCGGTTCAGACGGAACGACCACCATCGGGAGTAACTATAGCAACAACCTCACGACGGCAGCAGCGGACTCCTTCTACCAGCCCCAATCGCTGGGGGCCCTGTCGACTGTGACGGCCTCCACGACCGTCACCAGTTGCGGCACGTTGGGGGACAGCACGTCACCTGGCACGGGGACTACGACAACGCAGCAACCATTGCCGCAGCACTACTTCAGCCAGGTTGCCTTCCAGCAACAGCAACAACATCAGACTAATCTGCACAAGTTCTACAAAGCCCACAAAAAGATGCCGGGCTTCCGCGGCCGGAGAGGCTGGTGCGGGTGTTTGCAGGTTAGTTTTTGGAATCCATTTTACGTACAATTTGTTTAACCACTTCGTAATTTCACGGCCACACATCTGACGATCTACTTAAGGGACGAAGTTCAAAATGAATCTACATGTCTGCTGCTCACCTTCACTTTCACCTTAAACCGTTTGTTTATGAAATTCAACGACGCAGAACGTGACAGTTACGATACACGCTATTCCAAAACTACCCAAATTTACTAACCCAAACCCAGATAGGCTAAAACTGAACCTACCCAAAAATGGGGAAACTATGTTGAGAGTGACATGTTGACAAATGAACAAAGTCGATCGAATTCAAGTCGATGTTGTTCATTTGTCAACTTGTCGATCCCAACATAGTTTACCCGTTTTGGGTAGGTTCAGTTTTGACCGATCTGGGTGGATTCAACCCAAATTTGGGTAGTTTTGAAACAGGTTCAAACTTTTTTCCAAACAAGCTAAGTTTTTTACACCTTAATTCATACATAATATGATTGCCGAAGCCCCTAATTACTCTGGAATAGCATTCACTAGTGACGTGCGAATAAAATGGGATTCGTCATCGATTATGTCACACGCATACCAAGCATTCTCACAAGGTTTCTCTTCGACCGTCCACAAAGTGGTCTCTCTTTTCTCGCACTAAATTATGATCATTGACGCCACGATCGTCGCCATCGACGTCGTCTTTCAAGGCAAATTAGCAACGCATAAACATTCTTCGCGTACCACCGACCGACCTGGACCTTCTTGGACCGACTTCGCATTTGCATCTCTTTTCACTCAGTAAGTAATTGCCGGCAAGTAGGGGTATCTTTAAAAAAAATGCGAAGGTTGTTCCCGGAATGGTGGAGAAGCAAAACAAAACAAAAAATCGCAGCAGGCCGTTCGGTAACATGTTTTACAGGGGTGTTAAAAAGCCGTGTGCCATGTACGGATCCAAGCAGGCCATCGCATCGTCTGGGAAATTACACAATATTCGCGTCTGCTGTTGATGAAGGTTCCATCCAAGCAGGAGGCTCTTTTGTTGTCACATGATGGGATGCGAGTCTTGAACTTGAAAGTTCTCCTTCGAGTGCCACTGGGCGAGAATTCCAAAATGGTCATAAGGAAGCGCTCGGAAGTCTCGGTCAAGCGAGTGATAATGACTTCGGGCCTAATTTATGGATGATTCCTTGAGACATCCCAGCGAGGCGGTCATGGACTTTGTAGACATAATTAATGTCATGTCCCCATTTTTGGATGTTGGATTGTAATTAATTTTTCATAAACGTCGAATATGATTGTAATCAATTCAACTGGGTCTGGATCTCGATTGGCAAGGCAACTATCTAGCAGTAGGGTCACGAACTAGCAGTCCCCATGCAAGGCTTTTCCCGATGTGCCGGATGTATGTTTCCAATATCTGTACGCAGCCTTGCGCAAAAGCTCTTCATTTGGTGACTGATCCTTCGGCAAAAGCTTCCCAATCCTTGAACGATCGTTTACCACAGCAGCCGTATGTGTTCTGAAAATGATCGATCGTCTCGGTGGATTGTCCGCTTCTCAAAACTGTACGAACAATACCAGCGCTACCGTCACTTGGCAGATGATTGACGTCGCCACAAGGTGCAACCAACTGTGCACACTGTGCCGAAACACAACATGGCACACTGTTCGGCACGCTAGGGCTAACATTGCCACTTTGTTTACTCCATTGAGCTTCTCTCGCAAAATTCCAAGGAAAAATCTGAAAGTATTTTCTGCACCACGAATATCGTCAGAACCAACAAATCTCATGCGATTCGTAGCAAAACTCTCGGCGGCTGGTGGTTTCGTCCTATTCGTGAGGCCCGACAGAGTTTTTCCACATTATGATCTGTCTGTCTGTCTGTCTGTCTGTCTGTCTGTCTGTCTGTCTGTCTGTCTGTCTGTCTGTCTGTCTGTCTGTCTGTCTGTCTGTCTGTCTGTCTGTCTGTCTGTCTGTCTGTCTGTCTGTCTGTCTGTCTGTCTGTCTGTCTGTCTGTCTGTCTGTCTGTCTGTCTGTCTGTCTGTCTGTCTGTCTGTCTGTCTGTCTGTCTGTCTGTCTGTCTGTCTGTCTGTCTGTCTGTCTGTCTGTCTGTCTGTCTGTCTGTCTGTCTGTCTGTCTGTCTGTCTGTCTGTCTGTCTGTCTGTCTGTCTGTCTGTCTGTCTGTCTGTCTGTCTGTCTGTCTGTCTGTCTGTCTGTCTGTCTGTCTGTCTGTCTGTCTGTCTGTCTGTCTGTCTGTCTGTCTGTCTGTCTGTCTGTCTGTCTGTCTGTCTGTCTGTCTGTCTGTCTGTCTGTCTGTCTGTCTGTCTGTCTGTCTGTCTGTCTGTCTGTCTGTCTGTCTGTCTGTCTGTCTGTCTGTCTGTCTGTCTGTCTGTCTGTCTGTCTGTCTGTCTGTCTGTCTGTCTGTCTGTCTGTCTGTCTGTCTGTCTGTCTGTCTGTCTGTCTGTCTGTCTGTCTGTCTGTCTGTCTGTCTGTCTGTCTGTCTGTCTGTCTGTCTGTCTGTCTGTCTGTCTGTCTGTCTGTCTGTCTGTCTGTCTGTCTGTCTGTCTGTCTGTCTGTCTGTCTGTCTGTCTGTCTGTCTGTCTGTCTGTCTGTCTGTCTGTCTGTCTGTCTGTCTGTCTGTCTGTCTGTCTGTCTGTCTGTCTGTCTGTCTGTCTGTCTGTCTGTCTGTCTGTCTGTCTGTCTGTCTGTCTGTCTGTCTGTCTGTCTGTCTGTCTGTCTGTCTGTCTGTCTGTCTGTCTGTCTGTCTGTCTGTCTGTCTGTCTGTCTGTCTGTCTGTCTGTCTGTCTGTCTGTCTGTCTGTCTGTCTGTCTGTCTGTCTGTCTGTCTGTCTGTCTGTCTGTCTGTCTGTCTGTCTGTCTGTCTGTCTGTCTGTCTGTCTGTCTGTCTGTCTGTCTGTCTGTCTGTCTGTCTGTCTGTCTGTCTGTCTGTCTGTCTGTCTGTCTGTCTGTCTGTCTGTCTGTCTGTCTGTCTGTCTGTCTGTCTGTCTGTCTGTCTGTCTGTCTGTCTGTCTGTCTGTCTGTCTGTCTGTCTGTCTGTCTGTCTGTCTGTCTGTCTGTCTGTCTGTCTGTCTGTCTGTCTGTCTGTCTGTCTGTCTGTCTGTCTGTCTGTCTGTCTGTCTGTCTGTCTGTCTGTCTGTCTGTCTGTCTGTCTGTCTGTCTGTCTGTCTGTCTGTCTGTCTGTCTGTCTGTCTGTCTGTCTGTCTGTCTGTCTGTCTGTCTGTCTGTCTGTCTGTCTGTCTGTCTGTCTGTCTGTCTGTCTGTCTGTCTGTCTGTCTGTCTGTCTGTCTGTCTGTCTGTCTGTCTGTCTGTCTGTCTGTCTGTCTGTCTGTCTGTCTGTCTGTCTGTCTGTCTGTCTGTCTGTCTGTCTGTCTGTCTGTCTGTCTGTCTGTCTGTCTGTCTGTCTGTCTGTCTGTCTGTCTGTCTGTCTGTCTGTCTGTCTGTCTGTCTGTCTGTCTGTCTGTCTGTCTGTCTGTCTGTCTGTCTGTCTGTCTGTCTGTCTGTCTGTCTGTCTGTCTGTCTGTCTGTCTGCGGGTTTCCTTAAATATTCTTGCCAGTAATTGGTTTCAATTGAGCGTGGACTTCGATGGGGGATCCACAGGACTTTATAGGGATGTCCATAGAAGTCTCTGTACAGTCGATGCGTACATACATACATACATTTATTTGTACAACATCACATTTAAGATAAGACATAATCAACAATAGTACGCCACAATACTCGGTTTGCGGCTGCCGCACCCAATGCTCGCTAGATCACGCTCTACCTGGTCCGCCCATCGTGCTCTCTGCGCTCCACGCCTTCTTGTGCCAATCGGATCAGTAGCGAACACTAACTTTGCAGGGTAGCCGCATCCTTCCGGCTTTGGCCACCTTCTGGATGCTGGGTTCGCCGTAGAGTGCAGCGAGCTCGTGGTTCATTCTTCGCCGCCACTCACCGTTCTCCTGCACACCGCCGAATATCGTCCTTAGCACACGTCGCTCGAAAACTCCGAGTGCTTGCAGGTCCTCCTCGAGCATAGTCCATGTCTCGTGTCCATAGAGGACCGTTAGCGTTGTGTACATGGTACATTTGGTGCGGGGGTGAATCTTTTTTGACCGTAGTTTCTTCTGGAGCCCGTAGTAGGCACGACTTCCACTGATGATGCGCCTTCGTATTTCACGACTCACATTGTTGTCAGCCGTCAGTAAGGATCCAAGGTAAACAAATTCCTCCACTACCTCGAAAGTATCCCCGTCTATCGTGACATTACTTCCTAGACGAATCCTGTCATGTTCGATTCCGCCTACTAGCATGTAGGTACTTTGTTTTTGACGCACTTACCACCAGTCCGACCTTTGCTGCTTTGTGTTTCAGGCGGGTGTATAGTTCTGCCACCGTTCCAAATGTTCTTGCGATAATGTCCATGTCGACCGCAAAGCACACAAATTGACCGGATTTCGTGAAAATCGTGATACATGCCAGGTTCAGCACGATCAGCGAAGTTTGGATATTCGAAAGATTTGGTTGAACCATTCTTTGACAGATGAGGCGAACGAAATCAAAAAGTATACGCCTACTAATGGTTTAGGACTACTTTCCCACAGGTCGACTGCCCGCTAGACAACCCTGCAATTTCTGCATCCTTTCGTATATTTGTGTTGAGCGAACGTCTAACGACATTTCAACTACCGAACGTGTAAACAACATTTATCAAAATAAAATCCTTTCTCTTTCGCACCCATAAAGTAGCCGTGTATAATTTCCATTTCGTTTCGATTGTCCGTTCGTCGTACCTACCTACCTACCAATATGAGAAGATTTTTCTTGAGATGATTACAGATTCGATCGGATATAAACTACTGGAACCTAATAATTCAGGCTCAGCAGTTGATCGCTCGATTGACTGCCGATCGAGGGCCAATGATGTAAAAAACGGGGGACCCTATTTACTTCGATCATAAACGTACGACCCGGAGAGAGAGAGTGCCATTAATCAATGGATTTTGCCGGTAGG